ATGATGGCCGGAAAGTTAGCATGTCGTTACTGCATGAAAAATGGCAAAGCGTTCACTTTAAGACATGGCCGAAAGCAGTCATGGTTTGATTGTCATCGTCAGTTCTTGCCAGTTGATCATGAGTTCAGAAGGATGAAGAACGCATTCAAAAAGAATACAGTTGAACATGATTTGCCACCTCCAATTTATTCTGGTGAGGAAATTTGGGAGAGGGTTCAGAACTTCACTAAAGTTACCGAGGCCCCACCTTCTAGATTTTCTGGATATGGTGTTACTCATAACTGGACAAAACAGAGCATATTTTGGGAGTTTCCATATTGGACGGATAATCTTCTCCGGCACAATCTTGATGTCACGCATATTGAGAAGAACTATTTTGACAATTTGTTCAACACAGTGATGGATGATAAGAATAAGACAAAATATAACCCGAAGGCTAGACTGGACTTACAAAAATATTGCAGGCGACCTGAATTACATTTGCAATCTGGGAACAATGGTAAGGTGTTCAATCCCAAGGCCAGCTACACATTCACTTCGGAACAAAGATGACAGATTTGTGAGTGGGTTACAAACCTAAATATGCCTGAGGGCTATGCATCGAACCTGGAAAAACGTGCCGATGTGGTTGAGGGAAAGCTGACTCATATGAAAAGTCATGACTGTCATATATTCATGCAAACCTTAATCCCTATTGCATTTTGTGGATTGCCTGAAAATATATGGAAACCCATCACAGAGATAAGTTTGTTCTTCAAAGACTTATGTTCTACCACATTAAGGGAAGAAAACCAATTTCAAATGAATCGAAACATTCCTGTAATCAGTAATAAGCTGGAAAGGATTTTTCTATGTGGTTTCTTTGATGTGATGGAACACCTTCCAATTTACCTTGTACACGAGGCGCGACTTGGAGGCTCGGTTCAATGCAGGTGGATGTATCCATTTGAGAGGTAACGATCAAACCTTGATTTATTCTTGTAATTTGCTTTAACATTATCGTCTAATATGACAATGTGCAGGACTATCGGAAAGTGTAAACGATTTGTTAAACAGAGGAATAGGATTGAAAGATCCATATGCGAAGCCTATATTGCAAAGAAAACTGCCCATTTTTGTTCTTACTACTTTGACAGTCATGTGCTAGAAATAAGCCCAATCGGCAAAATGTGGTGATTGAGATTAATCCATTATATCCACCAATGTCCATATTCAATCAACCAGGCCGAGGTTCTAAAGATCGAACAAAAAGGGGCCTAAGTAGTATGGAGTACAAATCAGCTTCAAATCATGTGTTGCTAAATTGACCCTTTCTTAAGTAAGTGTTGACGTAAGATTAATTTACATGGTCTACTATTTAATTTGGTTGATACAATTAACAAATACTTTTCAATGCATCGCTCAGTGACTTCGTGAGTCAATTTGGCCATGGTGTTGTATATTCTACATTTGAGGCATGGTTTAAAGAGTGTGTAAGTACATCTTACATACTTTCTCACATGTGAATATACATACTTGTAAATATACTTGCTCACTTGTGATTTATTTACCCCTACATGTAGGTCAATAATCCAAATAACGGTGTTAATCAATTTTTGAAAGACATATCTTGGGGACCTGCACCTACAGTTACGACTATGTCTAAGTATTATGTGAATGGTTACAAATTTCACACCGAGGAATGCTCCAAGTATAAAAAAAATCAATAACAGTGGGGTGTGTGTCAAAGGTGGTGAAGGCAACCAGGATGGGGAAAATGATTATTATGGTTTGGTGAAAGAGATTCTAGAATTGTCATATTCAGGTTGACCAAATAAGAAGATCATACTTTTCCAATGCAAGTGGTTTGACCCAACACCTAGAAGAGGTAAAAATGTACACTCGCAGTACAACATAATTGAGGTTAATAAAAAGAGGGAGTATGATCGCTATGATCCTTTTATAATTGCAGAAAGAGTTAGGCAAGTGTAATATGCTCCGTATCCATTGCGGAGGGATAAGGCTGATTGGTTGGTTGTAATCAAAACAAAGTCTGTTGGTAGGGTGGAAGTTGAGAATGTGCTAGATGTTGCTTACCAAAATGATACCTCAAGTGTTAACCAAATGGTGAATGATCAGTTAGAAGATTACTCGGAGCATCCTCAACGCATATTAGAAAATGTTGATATGGAGGAAATAACAATCATAGAAAATGAGGATGAAGAATCACCTAATGAAAATGAAATAAGTGAAGAGGAAGGATTTTCAGACGAGGAAGGATACGTCGACGAAGACGACTAGTATGTTAGTTTTTTCAAGCGCTCTCAACTTATATAGATTTATATTCTCAATTCTAATATTTTCTTTAATTTATGCAGATGGCCGGTAGGGGTCGAGGTAGGTCTAGGAAGGATAAAAGGCCTATTGATCATGATGATGGTGCTACACCCTTGCTTCCTTCCACTCCACACTTTCATCCCTCTGCCGCTGATGGTTGGCAGCAATCTTCAAGGCACAGATCTATTCCACCATATTTATCTACTTATCATACTACCCATCATTTGCTCACCCAATAGTATTCTCACCATTCTCTGCCACAGGGCTATACCCCCGCTTCCTCCACATAATCCTACAAGTAGTTACATGGGTGCATCGAGTCACCAGTCATAGAGCCATGTGGTACGCCCGTCATCTACTCCATTTGCTTCATCTCCAGCTGGATCGCATCCATCTAGATTTCAGTCGGCCGGATCGCAGCAGTGGTCTGGATCGCAGCAGGGGTCTAGATCGATGCAGGGGTGTGGATTGCAGCCATCTTCATTAGGGACCTCGTCTCCCTCTCCACGGAGTTCGTCTCCTAGCATTTCTAGACTTCGTCTTCGGAATAGTAGCACTGACCCAGATGCCCCCTTCTACGCACGCTTCAGATTCATCAGAGGATGATGATCCAGATGAAGTACGTTATGATCGTTATCATAGGATGATCATCATGCCCGAGGGTAATGGGTAAGATTTATTTATTACTTCTTTATTTTTGCTGAACTAAAATAGCTACTCTTGTTTATTTAATGTAATTGCTATGTTGCAGGTTCATTCCTAATCATCAGGTTATAAAGATAATCACTGATATTCTTGGCGGGTTATATAATGCACACTATCCGACTTGGAGTGACTTTACAGAGGATCTCGTGCAACAAATGTTCAACCAATTTAAGGTTTTAATACAATTCTTATCTATTTAAGCATTATATTAACAATATTTTCATCTAACGTTACATACTTTATTTGCAGATTAAGTGTGCCTGGGAGGACCGATATAACCGTGAAATTTGTGCAAATTGGGAGTACAAATGTCGTAAGAGACTCTCTGATTCCTTCTCCTATGCTCGAAAGGTTAACAAGAAGCCTTCATGGGTTCTACCAAATTTATGGGAGGATCTGTAGAGGTATTGGGCCACCGAGAAATTCGAGAAGCAGAGTGAACTGGGAAAGAAGGCCCGAGCATCTGAGAATGGTGGATCCTTACACTGTCTGTGTTCAAGGAGCACGGGGGATACGAGGAGACAACTGGTAATTCCTTAAAATATTTTGGTCTATTTTTATCGAACTATATTTATATATGTTAATTTCGTTAACACGTTTTATTATATTTGTAGGAAAATAAAATATGGGAGAAAGATGAGTCATGATGAGTTCTTCATGAAGACTCACATCCGGAAGAAGAAGGCACTGACAGATCCAACTAGATGGGTCGAAGACTGGGCGGAGACTACACATGTAAGTTTCATAACTACTATAAATGTTTATAATATTATATAGTTAGTAATTTTCTATCTTCTAAATAAAGGGTCGCTACAAGATTAATGTGGAGGAGTACACTCAGAGCTTGCCACCGAATGAGCAAGGCGGGCGACCGCCCATTTCAGACGAAGAAGCGCAGAGGATATGGTTGGATGTTATCGGTGGTCCTAAAATGGGAATAGCATACGGCCTTCCAGATAAATCATTTCGGCGCTACAGGGCTGGATTGCAAGGTATAGGGACTTCCTCCCAAGGCGAGGCGATTGATAGGTCGACTATATCGTCTATGGAACAGAAGATCGCAAAGCTGACAGCAGAGCTTGAAGAGACAAAGACTAGAGAAAAAAAGAGAGATGAAAAATTTGGTACCCTTCAAGTTCAGCTAGAAAGGAGGGACGAACAATTTAATTCAGCTGACCAATCTTCTTGCTAGTGGTGCTTTCCCCATTCCCCGGTCTCGTGAGCCTTCCCCATGTGTCGACGATAAAGGTTCTAGGAGTGAAGATGGAGATGATGCTAGATAAAAAAAGTCATTGAATGGTGTGTATTGCTAAACAAAGTATTGAACTTGTAAATATTTAGTTGAGACTAGTTTTGAATTATGATTGTATTGTTATTTTATTATTGAACATTTTAGTAGTTGTTGTTGTAGTTGTTATTAGTTGTTGTGGTTGTTATTAGTTGTTGTTGTTGTTATTAGATAATGATTGTTAGTGTTAGTTAATTGTTGTAGTTGTTGTAAGTATATTCATTGTTGTTGATTAATTATGGTTGAATGGCAGCAATGTAATGCTGCTATTATACGATGGATATTGGTTGTAATTGGCAGGTGGTGTAGCTTAAAAACAGGCATTTTCTGCCCAGGTTTTATTCAGATTTCCGACCGAATTCGGTCGGAAATTAAATTTTTTTCCCCAGAAATTCATAATTAAAATTTCAAATAAATTCTCCAATTTGTTGATTTTATTAGAGGACGAGTTTAAGGATTAATTCCAGGCTTTTTATTTTCACTCTTAACAATTTTTCCTCCTGCTTCATGTGTGTGAAAATATGAGTCCATTTCAGTTTTATATGCATTGCATAAAATATGCTATGATTAATTTCATGGGTGCCGAAGTAAAATAACCTCACAAAATCCAGTTTATACTCCAAAGTACTCCCCCACATTAATTTTAGGTCTTTTAAACGTTTAAACAACTGATTCAATTCCTCAGTATATGTTGGCACAAAACAAATACTGTATTATTTCGAACAGGCCGTAGTTCAAATGAAAGCAACATAATTATTCAAGAAAAGCCTGAAGAGGGTGAACAAGAAAAAAGAGGAAATCAGGCTACAAATCAAACGTGTTACATTGTCAAACAAACATAATTATACTAACTGTTTGCTGATGCAGTATTTATCTTGATTAATGGCAAGGAGAGTAGCAATAACAAGCATATTTTGCCCAATGATGATGTTTGTGTCCCCATTGGTATTTCTTACAAATTCCATATTTAGCTCCAAACCAGTGTTTGCAATGCTGGCTACATTTGTAAGAGTAGTGGCAAGGCCCATGCCATTTGTGATTTTTCTTCGAACAGTATTTTCCTTCTGCCATCTGCATCTCTGCATAAAGCATGTATTTTGCCAACTAAGAATAAATGCGTAATGAAGATATACCCCCTGATTGACTTAGTATATGAATTGAAAAAAGATTGTCAAGTCTATATATTATTTGGTGATATTTTCCTAGTATTATTCTAGAAATATTTGTACTGTGAAAGATATAACCTTTTGAAGTACATACAGTATAACTGGAAAAAAGAAAAGAAATGTTTCTTTACGTTAGTTTATAGTACAAATTAACGAGACAGTATCTTGGGACAATCCTGAACATCCCAATCCTTTGATAAAAAAAATAATAAGCTACTTAATAGAAGCCTGCTTAAAAAGTTACTAATTGACTCACCAGTAGCAGCGACAAGGAGAAGACAGAAGAGAAGGGCAACGAAGGCTGTGTATTTAGCCATATCTAGCTTGTTTTCCTTTTGGATTTCTTGGTGAGGAAACTGACAACATCAATGGTGATATTTATAGCACGGTATATGCTCAACATTGTCAACTTAATTAATTTTTTGACTAATTCAAGCATTTACAAGTTAAAAAGAACAAGTCAAGCTGATTCCTTCAATTCCCTTATAAGATTATGAAATGGACGATGGGAACGCTGGTTTAGGAATTTAAATAGATCTAATGTCAAGATAATGTGGGAGGACTAGCCGCGAACCAGTTCAAGGTTCAAATTGTCTATGTATGAACTCCTAATGTTAACATTATTTAATCAAATACTATATACATATATATACTGCTAATCCTTAAGTACATAAAAAATATTCGAATCCTTTAGAAAATATGATCATGTCCAAAGGAGTAATAAGATTAATGTTCATCATCAAATAAAAAATATTTCCGGACGGAAAGTTTCATAAGTATATTGTGATGACCCAAAAGGTCATCTTATGTTTTAGAACTCGAATCTGAGCTCTTAAGCCTTACAAATCTCATTTTTACCTACCTCAATTTGCGTGCACAGTCCGGGCAGGTTTCCGGATAGCGTTTACGTTGAAAACTAATGAAAATAAGAATTTTTGCCTTAAAAATTAATTTTTATTGACTTCGGTCAATATTTTTGGTAAACGGGCCCGGATCCATGCTTTGACGGTCCCGATAGGTCCGTATAAAATTATGGGACCTGGGCGTATGCCCGGAATTGAATTCGAAGGTCCCTAGCTTGAGTTATGAATTTTTGATGAAAATTAAAAGTTTGGAAATTATTCTTTTTTTAAGAATTGATTGATATTTGGCATTGTTAGTATCGGGTCCGTATTTTAGTTCTGGAGCCCGATACAGGTTCATTATGATATTTAAGACTTGTCTGTAAAATTTGGTGAGAAACGGAGTTGATTTGACGTGATTCGGACATCCAATTGAGAAGATATGAAATTTCAAGTGTTCTTGAGAATTTCATTTGATTTGGTGCTAAATTCGTAGTTCTAGGTGTTATTTTGGCGATTTGAAGGCGTGAGCAAGTTCGTATGATGTTTTTAGACTTGTGTGCATGTTTGGTTTAGAGCCCCGAGGGCTCGGGTGAGTTTCGAATAGGCCACGGGATATTTTGAACTTAGAAATCTTGCTGGTATAACTGAACCTGTTGCAAGCCTCTGATCTCGCAATTGCAAGATCAGGCATCGCAAATGCGAACATAACAGGGTCCGCAATTGCGAGGCTTTCATCGCAATTGCGATCAGAAGCCTAGGCCAGCAGTTCTCACATTTAGGAGGTTACCATCGCAATTGCGAAGGGAGTCTTGGAAGGGCAGGTTCACAAATGCAAACATTTACTCGTATTTACGAGGTTCAGTGGTCGCAAATGCGACACTTTCCTCGCATTTGCGAAGGCAGCGGGATTGTGAAGGGCATCGCAATTGCAATCTTCGCATTTGCGAAGCTCAGGTCGCAATTGCGACACCTGCAGCTGAGTAAAAGGGGCTTACACGAGATTTTTCATTCTTCTTATTTTCAAACCCTAAACCTTAAGAGGCGATTTTTCAAATACCAAATCTTCCCCAAATCATAGGTAAGTGATTCCTAACCCTTTTCTTTCAATCTTTTTACATCTTATAACAAGATTTCAACCTAGAATCTAGAAATTTTATGATAAAATTAGGATTTTTGGGTAGAATTTAGGAATTTCGAAATTTGAGGATTTAGACATCAATTTGAGGTCGGATTCCAAAATTAATTACATATTCGGGCTCGCGGGTGAATGGGTGAAAGGATTTTGGTTCGAACCTCGGGTTTTGACCAAGTGGGCCCGGGGTCGATTTTACAACCTTTTGGAGGAAAATTTAAAAAATTTAATTTATGAAATATAATTGATTCTTTTAGCAATATTTGATGTTATTGAGTCATTTTTGAATAGATACGAGTGGTTTGGAGGTGAATTCCAAAGGAAAAGATGTGATTGAGAATTTAGTGGATTTCAGAGCAAGGTAAGTGTTGTGTCTAACTTTGGCTTGAGGGAATAGGTATTGTGTGAGTATTTGCTACGTGTTTTGTTGTTGAATACGATGTATAGTTGAGGTGACGAGCATCTATACGTTGTGGTGGAGTCATAGCATGCGAGTGAAATTCCATTCTTGCAAATTTGTATTCTTAAATCTTGTTATCCATGCTTATTGTTGTTGTTGCAATGTTGGAAGACTTGTATTCGATTCCACCAAGGTCGATAAAATTGTGAATATTGATTCGAGGTTGAGATGCTAAATTGTGAAAGTAATCATTGATGAAATATTGATTTCTTTGTGAAACTTCTCTCTATCGGTTATTAATGATTCTGTGAATTGTGAGGAAGAGTGTAAAGCACGAAGGGTAATGTCATGTATGATTTATTTATATTGTGAGGAAGAGTGTAAAGCACAAAGGGTGATGTCGTGCATGATTTATTTATATGGTGAGGAAGAGTGTAAAGCACAAAGGGTGATGTCGTGCATGATTTATTTATATGGTGAGGAAGAGTGTAAAGCACGAAGGGTGATGCCGTTCATGAATTATTTATATTGTAAGGAAGAGAGTAAAAACACGAAGGGTGATGCCGTGCAGTCTTATTTTTATTTGGTGAGGTTAAGAGTAAAAGCACGAAGGGTGATGCCGTGCAGTTTTCCTTGCTGTTTTAATTGCTCAATTCGTTTAAGGATTTTCGGTTTAATTCTGTTTTTTCATTATTCTCGCTCTTTATGTTGTATTCCCCCACTGTATGTTCCCTTCCCATTATTTTTGCGTTATTTCTTTATTTACTGTTGTTGCCACTAGCATGATTATACTGTTCAGGTTATATGTGGGTGTCTTGTCCTAGCCTCGTCACTATTTCACCGAGGTTAGGCTCGACACTTACTAGTACATGGGGTCGGTTGTACTGATGTTGCACTCTGCACTTTCTGTGTAGACTTTGATACCGGCTCAGGTTGATCGAGATTTTGCTATTGGTCCGTTGTCCGGAGACTCAAGGTAGATTTATCGGCGTTCACAGACCTTGAAGTCCCCGTCAACCTTTTATATCACTGTTGTTTTCTTTCATTCAGACAGTTGTATTTATTTCAGACTATTACTTGTAGTAAATTCTAGAATGCTCGTGAATCGTGACTCCAGATCCGGGTGGTAGTAATTAATACAGTTTTATAAAATTCCACACATCTTATATTTCATCTTAGTTAATCATTGTTATTTACTGAATTGAAATAAGGAATTGGTTTAACGATTTTCTAACGTTGGCTTGCCTAGCAAGTGAAATATTAGGCGCCATCATGGTCCCGTCGGTGGAAAATTTCGGGTCGTGACATATATCTAGATTATCAAGTTTCATTTTTGAGTCTCAGTTAATAGGGATTAGCCGGTAGAATTTAGTGTTTACTTTTTATAGCTAGTATACATAAATTATATTTTGATTATATACGGTTATATATATATATATGGCGATTATTTTTAATTTATTGATCAGCTATTTAGGTTAATTCTACCCAATTTTTAATATACGTGCAGGCACTATTTAGTACGTTACTGTTAAGTGTTGTTATTGATCTTAAAAAGAACCAAATGTGAATTCCACTTCCGAAGTTTGTGGATTTTGATGTATGATCACTTATTGGAATCACCATATATATCATAGTAACTTGGAATACACAATTGTGGTCTATCAGACTTAGCGTATGCATTAAAACATATAAATTTCTTTTAGTTAAATGATAAATTTAGATAAGAATACATATTATTCGTCATGGCTACGTGATCGGCTCGTAGCTACAAGAAGCATGATATGGATTTATTATTTTGGTGTACGCACTAACTGGGGTTAAATATTTTTCGTGGTATTTCGATAATCTAAATTCCCGCATACCATCATATACACATTATTTTACCTCGTGCGAGACCACAGGATCTTGTAATTTTTCAACTTTGGACTTCAAAAGTTTGTAATGCTTCGGGTTAGATTGCAAATGAAGGAGATTATAGAACCTTTGCAAATGAAACACCATAAATGTAACGATCCGACTTGTCGATTTGAGTTATTACTCTCCTTTCTACTATTTGAAATCTTGAATAGCTTCATATGTTGTATTATGACTTGTGTGCAAAATTTGAGGTCAATCGGACTTGATTTGCTATATTTCGACATCGATTCTTCAAGAATACGTCGTATCACATTAAGCAAATGATCTCCAAATTCAGTTTTGATTGAAGCATTAGATCCGTATTAAAAATTTTGAGTCATAGCAAAAAGAATCGTCGAATTCGGACATCGTATGAGAAAGTTATGCCCATTTCCGTATCGGAAAAGATTTTTCGTCGCCGCGAGCACCCAGGGTAGCGTGGGGCGCTAGCCCTGGCGCTGGGGTATTTAAGGGTACTGGAAATAGCACCACAGGCAGCGTCCCACGCTACATGTGACGCTCGAAAACACCAGAGGCTCTATAAACGAGATTTTTGGCCATTTTTGACATAAAAATAGTTGGGGAGCTCGGTTTGGTCGATTTTCACGAGTAAACATTGTGGTAAGTGTTCCTTATCCTATATTGATTATATTTCATGATTTCATACTCATTTACATCATGAATCCGTGAATCTATGGGGGGGAAATCAGATTTTTGTAAAATCCTCCAAAACTGTAAAATGAAGACTTGAAGGTCAATCCGATATCGGAATTTGACAAAATTGATATGGGTGGACTCGTAATTGAATGGGTTATCGTATTTTGTGAGTTTCATTGGATTCCGAGACGTGGGTCCCAATGGCAATTTTTTAGTTAAATTTCGGATTTTGTTGGAAAATTAGTATTTTCATATGGAATTAATTCCTACGATTCGTGTTGAGTATATTAAATTGTTTGTGACTAGATTTGGATCTTTCGGACACGAATTCACGAGGCAAAGGTTTATTAGAATCTTAAAATTTGGTTGTGAAACGAGGCAAGTATCTTGCCTAACCTCGAGTGGGGGAATTACCCCTTA